ATAGGAGGCAGCCGGACACAGACAGGTAGTAGTGGTCCCAGGCAGTGGGCATCCTGTGGATGGGAAAGGACCTGAGGTGATCACTCCAGGTTGCTGGACTCAGAACTTCTTGTCGTCAGTCCCGAGACTGCTGGTGCTCTCTTGGAGCCGACTAGTTAAAGCACTAAAGTGTTCTTGTGTCTCTCGGCTCCTCTAGGCCACTGTGAGCAGCACCTTGCACAGCTCCAGGCCAAGGGCCCACATAGTAAATAGAACTCTCCTCACTTGGTACCCATGTCTGTGAGGGAGGCTCCTGACTATCATCAATGTTAACAGACTCAGAAAGGGACAATGTAACTGTAACCACAACACGAGGTTAATATTGTGGACTCAGAGGGCGGAGTTCCTCTAACTGGGGGGGTGAAATGAGGCCTCCTGGAAGAAGAGGTTAGTGTTCTGGGTCTTGAGGGATGGGGTATGTATAGATAGGGCCTCTGGGCAGGCTGATTTTTTTAAAGATTTATTTATTTATTATGTCCTCACTGTTTTATCTTTATGGCATCAGATCTCACTACAGATGGTTGTGAGCCACCATGTGGTTGCTGGGAATTGAACTCAGGACCTCCAGAAGAGCAGCCAGTGCTCTTAACGGCTGAGCTACCTCTCCAGCCCCTGGGCAGACTGCTTAATCTGAGGCCACAGAGATACTGAGGCAAAGAAAGGCATGGGGGATCCCAGTATGATCCTTTTGATCCGGATGAGTGGACTGCCCCAGTCATAGAGAGCTGGGATCCACATACAGAGTTCCAGGCTGTGGGGTTTGGAATAGATTTGAGTCAAATTGGAATGGGAAAAGTTTGCAGGGCACTATTCCCACTGCAGCTCATAGGCAGCGTTCCCAAAGACCACGGTGCAATGGGTGCCCTGAACTTGTTACAAAGTGGCATAGCTGAACTCCCCTGAGCTATAGTCACCAGGATGAAAGATAGGATGTGGTCCAGGGGGATGGCAGCATAAATAATTGTATCGCCAACACCTGAATGGTATTCTCTCATCACCCAATCAACAGAAACCGTCACACTTCACTGTCTTAGCTAACAGGCAGCCCTGACATACTGATCATGGTAAATCCCTTTCCCACCACAGGGAGCGATCATAGTACACTATTACCAGCGACCCCAGCCCGAGTCCAGGGACCACAAATCCCAAGACCTGTCACCTCCACTAGTCTCAGCACCCTCTGTCCCAGACAGACCACAGCCATCAACCACGACGACGTAAGCAGATCTCCCATTCCCACCACCAAGGGCCACCCTGACACCTCCCAGATAGAGGAAGACACAGGCTGTAAGACGAACTCCAGCTAGACAGTTCTATCTGGTCACACTCTCCCTTAGGCAGACATGAGCCTCCAAGTCTAGTTTTCTTGTGTCTTTTTTTTAACTAGGTGTTTAAACTGAATTGTGGGTTAAGGGGTAGAGAGTGCTTAGCACATACATAAGGCCCTGGATTCTAGACCCAACATCCAAAACTTTTTAAAAAAAATTTAAAATCTATGACGAAGTCGGGAAGCAGCTGTGGGATTGTAGACCAGGCCGGGGTGATCTCATGGGCACTCTCTTTAGGACTAAAGTCAAGGCTATGTAAGGTCTCTGCAATGCTTGCTTGCTGGTACATGCTTTGGAATTTCTGGAGACTCATGGATCTTCATGCAGAAATTGACCTGGAACAAGAACTCAAGAACCTTCAGGATGCACTTTGATGTCTCTTCTCCCCTCTCTAGGCCCTGGTGACTGCCGAGAGTGACCCTAGATAGGACGCACTCAGCGAGAGCTGAGAGTAGCAGCCCCTGATGGTGACCTTTGTCCCAGCCCTATGGTCAATGGCGACTTTTTCTGGGGCCTACATCCAGCTCCAAGTCCATTGCCTGAAATCCAGGGTTCGTTTGGGACTGTTGCAAGGGAGAGCTGCAGATACGCTGGGCTGGTAGCACACCGGAACAAAGGGGAGAGACAGCCAATGTCTTCTCTGCCCAGCCTGTCCTATTACTCTCATCCAGTGCAGGGTCTTCAGTTTCCAGTGGTTCACTGGAAACGTGGGATGGGACCAGGGAGGGAACAGTGTGTCATCCTAAGCCGTCCCATACTTGGCCACCCTGTGAGGAGGCCTCAAACAGCCAGCATGGCAGGTTCAAGGTCTACAGTTTCTCTGGGGCAGCCACACAGTCAGCACAGCTTTCAGGAGCTCACAGAAGATGGACAAGCAGCTTCATAGAAGAGTCAAAGACAGCACTGCCCAAGGCCTCCCCTCTGACAACTAAGCCATGAAAGTCCTGGGCAAGCGTAGGTAGCACCCTTGCCTATTGGAATGTCCTCTTTACTCTGGGATAGCCAGCCAGAACTCTACCCCTTCTCCAGCTCAACCCCTTGTATTCAGTTTTGTACCCGTTTCCTTTTTCACTGCATGGAGACCAGTTAGGAGATGCTTTGGTAAGCATCTTGTGGCTTCCTTGCATTCCTGTCTGAGACAGACAGAGATATCTAACAACTCGCTGCTCCATGTGTGTGGTCCGTAGACCAACCACATCAGCACTACCGGAGAACTTGCTAGAAATTAGACTCAACCCCACTCCAAACTCAACAAACTATCACACAACAAGCTGTTCTGTGATATTTTCTGTTTGTTTTGTTTTGAGACAGGGTCTCGTGACATAGCCCAGGTTGTCCTGGAACTCACTGTATGCAACCCAGGCTGGCCTCAAACTCACCAAAACCTCCCAAAAGCTGGGATAACTGGTGTGTACCACCTAGCTATGTGATGTTTCACCAGAGAGGCAATGTCCCTCGACCCCAGGTTCCTTGTCTCCAGGGATCTAGAACCCTAATCATCCAGGGAGGTTGGGAGGATAAGGGGAAAGAACGGGCTAACACGGTGGAGCGCTTGGAAGAGGGGAGGGTGACATGTTACTTGGGTCCAGTAAGAATCTGCCTCTGATCAGAGACAGATTCTACTTGGCCGAGCACAAGAAAAGGTCTCTTTCTTCTTCTCTGAGACACTGGTTCAGGCTTCAAATCAAAATGACAAAGATTAGTCATTTTGTTCTCATGGGTAAGTTCCAGAGCCTTGAGAAAGTGAATTCGGTTTCCCTTTTCTCACTTGTTACATGGGGCTGATTAGACTTGTTACATGGGGCTGTTGTGAGACATGAAAGGCGTAACCATGGAAACACAGTATAGAGTGAGTAAATAAATGGTTCTGGGGCAGCTATCACAACTTGCAGGAATTTCATTGGTTCTGTCACTATTGTTACCAAGAGAAATGCCAATCAAAGATCTAAGAATGAGCGGCGGATGGTGGGCCCTTCCGGTGGTCCCGGTTCACGGGGAAGCTGAAGCAGGAGTTAGAGACCAATGCTTTAGAAAGAGTAAGGGAGAGACAAAGGTGGGGGGGAGCAGGACTGGATGTCTATTTCTCTACTTTCTCACGATGTGTGTGGGAGGGTCAGGGTTGTACTGAGTGCTTGTTGGGGAAGGGCTACACATCCACATTTCTGTGCATATGCCTGGAAGCCAAAGGTCCGTGTCAAGTGTCTTCCTCAATTGCTGTGTACCTTATAGTTTTTGAGACAGGGTATCCCACCGAACATGAAGATCAGCTGGCTAGCAAGCCCCAGAGATTCTCTTGTCTTAGTTTTCCCAGTCCTAGAATTTCAGGCTGCTATACCTGGCTTTTTGTTTCTTATGTGGATGCTAGGGATCTCAATTCAAGACCTCGTGCCTAAGCAGCAAGCATTTTGTTTTGTTTTGTTTTTTGAAACAGGGTTTCTCTGTAAGAGAGTCCTGGCTGTCCTGGAACTTGCTTTGTAGACCAGGTTGACCTCGAACTCATAGAGATCCTCCTGCCTCTGCCTCCCAAGTGCTGGGATTAAAGGTGTGTGCCACCACCACCCGGGTAGCAACAAGCATTTTACTGGCAGGTCATCTCTCCAGCCCTATGACTGAATTTTCATTCTCTGTCCCATTCACAGGGAGCAGAACTAATCTTGTCAATCTGTAACTCTGACTGATCGGTTTTCTTAGATGAGTTCTGGGGACAGTCTGGGCTTACAGAACACCCAGGCATTTAGGTGGAGGCATATGGACATCTGGTCTACCTGTACTGGCATGTGCTGGTGCTGGGTATGTCCATCCTGCCTGGTCATACTGCTCCACACAGGCAGAGTGGCTGCTTCTCTACTTCCAGTAGAAAGAGCCTACAGTTCTACTTGGGCTTAGAACCATGATCATGTCATTCTCAAATGTGTGGCACAGCTGGGCTGCCTGGTGACATGAGGATTTATGAGCTCAGTAGGGTCTGCCTGTGCCCTCCCCACAGGTCCTGACACTCCTCAGAGTATGTCATGAAAAGGGGCACAAATTTCTGTATCTCTGAACTGTCCTTGACCATATTACCCCCTTCTGGCCTAGGTATCCTTGGTCTTCTTTCCATGGTAGCTTCTGTCCTTCTGCAGTTGGATGTACCGTCAGTGCCTTGGGGTAAAACCCACATTCTTGTGGCTGTAGAGCCTAGGACTTTCACACTCAGATATCTTTTGAGGGGGACACTATAGGTAGCATCATTCCCCAGAAGTAATTTATGCCCCTGACTGAATGTACAAACAGTAGGGAGAAGCCAAACTAGATAGGAAGGTAACAAAAATGTGCCTTCCCACCGCCTTATACTTGGCTGAGAAAGGAAAACCAAGAAGCATCGAAAACCTGAGGGGTAAACATCCCTCCAAGATTATGCTGCCAGGCCCCTCCCTGAGGTCTGATCACGCCCTCCTGGGGTTCAGGGGCGCTCTTTCCCAGCACCTGGAGGATGCGCCCTCACACACACCTGGATCCTGCTGTGTGTAGAGCACATGGCACATTCCACCCACCCCTCCCGCCCCCTCTTACCCCCTCCCACCCCCTCTTACCCCACACCGCGGCGACCCGCGGCCCACATGACCTGTTGTCTTTTTGATCCCACCTCATCAGCACCCCTATTGAGCATGCTCCAGTGTGCACCAGCCAGGCCACTACCCCGCTGCTGCCTGCTTCTGCCCAGTCGCCCGCTGCTGCCTCTCCCATTGCAGCCTCGCCAACCCTGGCCACAACTGCTGCTGCCCACGCTGCCGCTGCCTCTGCTGCAGGTCCTGCCTCAAGCCCTGTGGAGAGTCCGAGGTAACGGGTCCACAGACGACAGACCTAACACTGGGGAAAGATGGCAAGTCTCTTTGTGGGCAGCTAGGTACAGATAGTCATGTCCCCAATGTTTTCCAAGGAAGCCAAGGCTGGTGCTGCTTGGTGCAGAGTGTGAAAGGGAAGTTGGGATGTATTTTGTGGGGTACACCAGCCATGATGAATGAGAGAGTTTTGTTGATGCCCTGCTCCCCCAGGGGAACATCCCTAGTGACAGATAAAAGTCACACGTACGTGTGCATGTGAACAGGAGTGACACATCACACACAGCGAAGAAACCCCATGCACAGTCTCTGCTCTTAGGGCCCAGAAGGGGAAGATGGTAGCCATCCCCACGGGGTAGTCAAGGAAGGCTCCTTGGAGGCAGGAATGCTGAACTAGTCAGGTCAGACAGCTTAGCTACTAACTTGCCCACCGCCTCATCCCTTCTTCTCTTGATGTGGGAACTTCAGAGGTCCCTAAAGTAATGGGATTTAAATCTCTCAGTTTCTCAGTGCAGAGTTTTACTATTTGAAGCCTTGAGAAAATGATTTAACCTTGAACCTATTTCCTCATCAGTTAAGATGTCTTAAGAAGTACATGTATATTGAGGTCATTATTGGAAAGATTTGCCCGTAAAACACCTCGCATACATGAAACACTTAGAATAAGCACTTTGGGCCGGGTGTTGGTGGCACATGCCTTTAATCCCAGCACTCGGGAGGCAGAGGCAGGTGGATCTCTGTGAGTTCGAGGCCAGCCTGGTCTACAGAGTGAGTTCCAGGGCAGCCTCCAAAGCCACAGAGAAACCTTGTCTCACAAAACCAAAAAAAAAAAAAAAAAAGAATAAGCACTTTGAATTCATGCATCTCAGCCTGCCTTCCTGGGCACCCATCAAAACAGAGGCCAAGGGAAGGGGGCATGCAGGGGGGAGGAAGAGAGAGGGCTGGGTGGGTCACTCCTGAGTGGCTGTCCCAGGTGTCTTTCCAGGCTTCCAGAAACTGCTCAGATGTTTTCAGTCAGGACCCAGATTTCCCAGCCCCCAGGGAAAGCATGGCTCTTTGGGTCAGGGTGTAGAGGGCCATAGTGCAGCCTGAGGCAGCTTCCCAGCATGCCATGTGGTGCCAAGCCCAACCTTTCTCCAGCCCAACTCAATCGCTGGGGGTGAGCCCGGTCCTGGCTTCCAGAGTGGTTCTGTCCCATTTTCCTAGAACATGTTTAAACAAACTGCCTCCCTGGTCCCTTGCGGACTCCCTTCTCATGAGGGTCTTGTGTCCTTCACAGAGTAGGGAGAAAGCTCCTGATGCGGAGAAGGGAGCCTTCCAGTTTGCACAGACAGGGAAAGAGAAGTGCTCAGTGCTGAAGCCCATGAGCAGTCTCACCCCAACCCTGCCTCTCCCTGAAGGGCAAACTCCAGCTCCATGCTCCAGTCCTCCGCGTGTGGGCCTGCCCACTCACCGCCCATGGCCTCAGGACACCCCCATGAGGGTGAATTCTTCCTTTTCGTTACCATACCGAGAGAGCAGAGAGGACTATCCCACAGGGCCTTGGGCTACACCGGGAGGAGTCAGACAGTGCACTCTGAGCACCGACACCTCCCTTCCTTACTCGTGGGTTCAACAGGAGCTGGAGCTAGAGTTGCTCATTGGATGTACATTTCGGCCCTTCTCCAGATCTCTTCAGCTTCTGCTTCCCTTCCCCGTGCCAAGCCAGGGTACTGGCAAAGTATCCCCCAGGGATGGGAACATCTGGCATGACCCACTGACCCGTAGCCGTATCCCGTCACACAGAAGCCGGGCACCCTTAGCATACGGCGTCTTCCTCTCCACCGACGCTCTTACTCCTCTGCCCTTGGCACGGGGATTCAGTCACGGAAGGGCAAGGGGAGCCTTAGCTGTAAATGTGGTGGGAAGGGAAGGGTCCGGGATGCCAGCTCTGAAGATTACCTTTGCCTTGCCTGGGACAGTATCCAGACTGCCCTGGATCCACTCAGGTAATCTGACAGGTTGATATGCCAGGGCCATCCCTTCCAGAGACCAAGACAAGAAGGCCTTCATCCTACAAGTGGCCCAGCAGGTCCAATGGGCCATAGGAAAGAGACGGAAAAAACAGGGGTGCTAAAGGCTGGGGGGGTATAGTTTTCCAGCACCCGGCCAATGACGCATCTGCTGGGTATGGTCAGGTGTCCCCTCTAGGATATATAACGCGTAAGAAGAGAAAGATATTCATTAACTTGAAATGAAGAAAAGGGTTTCACAAAAGAGCGAAACGAGAAACACTGCACCAGGCAAGAGTAAACAGCTGCTGGACTCTGGAGGCTCCTGCAGCTGTCAGCTCCCCCGAGAGAGAGGCCAAGCTGAGCATTTCCTGAGGGCAAAGAACTGGGACACTTTCACACATCTCCTTGCTGCCCTTGTCCCTGAGCCACGCGTGGGAAAAGGCTGCTTGCTCTAGGACCTTGACAGTTGAGCCAATGGGAGGAAGCAGCGGGAACTGTCTAAGAAGTATCGTGGTTTGATGGGGGCGCTGCTGGGACTCCTCATTTCTTCCCATGAGACTAACTGCTTCCTCCAGCAGCAACAAAAAGGAATGAGATGAGGAGGGCATCCCACAAAGCAGAGTAGCCGTGACCATCTCCATCTCCGTCCCTCGTCCTCTGCCTTGGTCCACAGTCCTACCGCTACAATTCCCTCTGTGGATGAAGCGCTCTCGCTGTGTTCTTTTTGTCTGGCTGGGGCCTTCCCTCCCTCTTTGCCAAGGCAGCAGCACTAGCCACAGGGACTGGCTTCCCCCCTCTGTGACACTGAGGCTTCTTCATTGACTCTGGAAGCAATCCAATGGATGTTTCTATCGTGGTCCTGCCTAGAGATCAGACAGCAAACCTGCCGTGGCTTTAGGTACCAGAGACTGTTCTTGCTATAACTCTTCTGTCTTGGTTTCAGGCCACAAGCCTCTGCCTACAGCCCTGTGGCAGCCACCTCTCCAGCACCTTCTGCCCACACCAGCTACAGTGAGGGTCCAGCTGCCCCTGCACCCAAGCCCCGGGTCGTAACCACTGCCAGCATCCGGCCCTCTGTCTACCAGCCAGGTGAGAGTCCGGGGGAAGTGAGGGCGGGGGTTCAAAGGGTCGACTGCACCAGGCCAAGATGCAGAAGAGGCGGAGACTCAGTTCTCCTTTCCCTCCCCCGGTGATAGGGTAGAATCCTAGGGAGGCTTCCAACCTGTGTTTGACCTTGGAAGACAGGTGGGCTGTACCAGGCAGGGCTGGAGCCATCTAGCTCTTAGGGAAGGGCCAGTCATGGCTGGATATTTCCAGACTAAGCTGAGAGAAAAGAGGGCTGGGGTGGGAGAACAGGATTGCAGAAGCGCAAAGCTGTTTCTCCAAGAATCTGGGCCGGCCTTAAACTGGAGGACAAGAAGCTATAAGGGAAATGCCCCAGGCTTTAGGCCAGCCTACTGTGTCACTTTGTCCTTTGAGTAAGCTGCTCAACCAGTATCGTAAGTGGTTTCCTCAGGTGACACAGGATAGCTGGGGCATAGGTGACATAGCAGTAGAGGGTCTACTCACAGTGAACCCAAGACAGAACTCATTGGTGGCAGTCCTGTCTCTGGCCCCTTCCAGTCAGTGCCTAGAGTTTTCTTACAGTGCCGAGAGGTAGCCTATGTCTTCTAATTTCCTAGGCCCAAAGTAGTTCTCAGGCTGGTGCGTGACCCACTTTCCAGTCAGCCATTGCTCAAAGAATCCAAGGGTGCTTTAGTGGGTATTTTTTTTTCAGGTTAGAAGAAGGTCCCATGTACTCTGGCTCTGCCTATAGGAAGGCCCTTGACATCCAAGCCCTGGGTCTAGTCACTGTCTTTCTTCCTGTTGGGTTCTGACCCTGAACTTTAGGAGGGCAGGGCTGTGGCAGATTTTCTCTTTTGTATATGCCTGACTTGGGCTTGCCATGAATAGACATCCAACAAACATGTAGGAAAATAAACAGGGGTTACAGGTGTCAGCTTGGTGGTAGAGTGTGTGCCTAGCATGTGTGAGGCCTCTGATTTTAATTCCTACTAACACACACACACACACACACACACACACACACACACACACACACGTCAGGCAGGCATGCAGACCGTTAGGGAACACATCATATAGTGACAGAGAGGCCATGAGCTTGCATTCTGTACTCTGGCAGCTGTGCACACACAGTGAATGAGCCGTTAGTACTCTCATAGTGATCACTTGGTGTCCATTCCATGGGTAGACAATATATGATTGTAGGTGGGCACATAATTTCCACTTAAACATTATACCTTCATAGCCAGGCAGTGGAGGTGCACGCCTTTAATCCCAGCACTCATGAGGTAGAGGCAGGCAGATCCCTGTGAGTTCAAGGCCAGCCTGGTCTACAGAGTGAGTTCCAGGACATCTAGAGCTACCCAAACAGACCCTGTCTTGAAAAAGAAAGACAAAACAAGAAAAAAAAACATTATACCTTCATCATATAGTTGTTGTCATCTTGAATTTATAGAAAGCAATGATAATTTAGCATTTAGCACTATAATACAAGTGTGTTTCTCTCCTCAAAATTATTATACACATAAATTTGCTTTGTTTTTGAGATAGGGTCTCTCTATGTAGCCCTGGCTGTCCTGGAACTAGCTCTATAGACCAGGCTGGCCTCGAACTTAGATATCCACCTGCCTTTGCCTCCCAAGTACTAGGTTTAAAGGCATGTGCCACCACGGCCCAGCACACATAAACATTTGAATAATAGATGTTTGTGTGTTTGTTTGTTGGCAGGGTGGCTCATGTAGCCCAGGCTGCCTGTTGATCCTCCTGCCTGGACCTCCCAAGTACTGAGATTATAAACATGTGCCACCAAACCCAGGTTTTAATAGACTTTTTAAAGAACAGTTTTCAGTTCATAGCAAAATTGAAGGAAAGGTGTCATTTCCAAAATATCCACTCCCCTCACCCTATGCACACAGCCCCCCCCCTTTCCCATGCACATCCCATTTACGGTAAACTGATGAAGGGAGTAACAGACATGTTTAGAAAAGACATGGGTCATTTCAGAGAAGAAGGACTCGTGTGGACTGGCCAAATAGGCTTGGGGTAAAATACAACACTTACAGAGTCTAGCCTCCAAAGCTGCCCTGTTAGCTCATGAGTGAGACCCTAGGAAGTGTTTCTCTGGGAGCCTTGCTTGGGGAAGCACACCCTTGTTGAGTGGGACAGAGGCAGACAGAATCAGCCCCCCTGCTGTAGAAAGCTCACCGACAGCAGAGTTGTGTGGACAGGACTTATTTTAGCTTGGGAGGAACACCCAGCCTGCCATAATAGGCAAACTACCTCACCTCTGAGACCTGAACTTTCTCATTTGAGTAAGATAGTAGGGGTCTCTGCAGATGAAACGATGTCCCCAGCTTGATGCCATCTCTGTCACTTCTGGGCTAAGGAAAGGAAGTTGGGAGGTCAAAATCGCCACAGGTTGAAGCCTACAAATCTAAGTAGGAGACCGAGAAAATTCCCAGATGCCGACTGGACACACGGGAAGTAGCTTGCAGGAGGATGGGGTAGTGTCAGGTGCAGGTGAGACCTGGTGCTTGCCCAAGGAAGACCTTTCCGGGCAGCACCGCCCGGGGCTTCCGGCACCTTCTCTGGCCTGTGCTCCGCAGGCCCTCCAGGGGGCGGCCCGGCTTTCCAGCTGCTCCTCCAGCTCCGGCCTAGGCGGGCCAGACGTGCAGGAGCCCAGGCCTCTTCGCGGTTCCCAGGCGGTGCAGACGTTAACTCATTCCTGCCTGGAGCAGAGGAGAGGCCTGCCTCCACCCTTCCTTCTCAGGGAGGCCGGGCTGCCAACGGGCTCCGGGGGCGGCTGACAGTCTGCCAGGCCCGGGGGCAGTGCGTGTCCGCGCCCCGCTCCGCTGCCGGGCTTCGGGGACCAGGGCACCGCCGAGCACAAGCAGCCCGCACGCGGCCAATCCCCGGCCGCAGCTTCCTGCTGGCGGAGGCAGGGCGGCGTTCGCGCTGGGAATCTTATCTCTGGCGCCGGGGCTGGGCGTCCGCTCCCCAGAACACCTGGGGCCCGGGCCTGCTTGACCAAGTGGGCGGAGGACACTGGGCCCGGGGACGGCCACGTTGGCCCGCGGGCCGGGCGGCGGCCGGGGTGCTAGCAGAGGACCTAGCCCGGGCCGGAGTGACTCAGATCACCTTGTTTAATTACACAGTCCCGGGCCGCCGAGTGCGATAGGAGCCTTTTGAACGTGCCAATTAGAGATGAAATATCACCTTCTAATTTGAACCGGCTTAATTCCGTCACGTAGAAATAGCAACAGCCTGGGGCTCCCGGATGGGATATCAGGTCTCTCCTGGTATTGGGGAGGTTGGAAGGGAGAAGCAGGCAAGATGGGGGGACCCCTGCGCTCCCTGCATCCCCCTCCCCATGGATCTGCCAGGCAGGCGAGCCAACGGAGGTAGCTAACCCTGATCGGGATTCCAGCCTTCCTCTCTGAGGCCTTGCGTTGGGGTTTGGAAAACGAAGGAGGTGCAGGGAGTCGGACGGCCTGGAATGGGAGGAAGAGAATGTCCACCCTGCAGAGGGAGTGCTTGGAGGGGGGCCAGCAAAGGTGGGCGAAGGCCCGGTTTACTTGAAAGGGGCTTGCTGAAGCCTGTGTTTGCCTTTCGGAGTGGCTTAGAGGGGTCTGGAGCCTAGTGGGGTGTGTTTAAGGTAGGAAGTTTGCAAGATGTCTGACTTTGAGGGGCCGCTTAAACTCTCCAGGTTATCTGGAGGGTTGACTCCCAAGTATTTTGCCTTCTCGTAGACTGTTAAGCAAAATCCTGTGCACCCCTGTGAAAGCCAACAGGCCTTGGCAGTCACTGTTTCAAGGGGAGCAGCCATCCAAGCGGAACACATTTTTAAAAAGCAAAAGAAAGCGGTGAAACTGATATAAATACATTTTATTTAGCTCAGCATATGAAATTTTCAGGGAATCTTTTTCATTTTTTTTCCGAGACAGGGTTTTTTTCTATGTAGCCTTCATTGTCCTAGAACACTCTGTGTAGACCAGGCTGGCCTAGGTCTCAAAGATCCACCTACCTCTCCTCTACCTCCTAGTGCTGGGATTAAAGGTATATGCCATCACAGCGGGCATGTGTGTGTGTGTGTGTGTGTGTGCATGTGAGGGTGTTACAGTTGTGAGCTGCCGTGTGTGTGTGCTGGGAATTGAACCCAGGTCCTCCAGAAGAGTAGCCAGTGCTCTTAACTGCTGAGTCATCTCTCCAGAGCAATACCTTCAGTCCCTGTGTGTGTGTATGTGTGTGTGTGTGTATGTGTGTGTGTGTGTGTGTGTATGTGAGGGTGTTACAGTTGTGAGCTGCCGTGTGTGTGTGCTGGGAATTGAACCCAGGTCCTCCAGAAGAGTAGCCAGTGCTCTTAACTGCTGAGTCATCTCTCCAGAGCAATACCTTCAGTCCCTGTGTGTGTGTGTGTGTGTGTGTGTGTGTGTGTGTGTGTGTGTGTGTGTGCTGTGTGGTTATGTGCACTTGAGTGCAGGTGCCTACGCAGGCCTGAAGAGGGTGTGGAATCCGTGAAGCCTGAGTTTAAGGTAGTTAAGAGTTGCAAGACCTGAGTGTTGGGAGCCCAACTCCAGTCTTCTACAAGAGTACATGCTCTTAACCGCTGGGCAGCTCGGTATATTTAAAAATGTTTTAGAGCTGGACAGTGTACTGGTGTGTGCTAGCTGTGTGAGAAGCTGAGACAGGAAGGTCAGGAGGTCATCAGTCTGGTTAACATATGGGGACCCTTGGTCAAGAGCACTAGCTGGTTTTCCACAGGGCCCACCACCAGCTCACAAGCATCTGTACCCCGATTCCAGAGGATCTGCACCCTCTTTTGGCCTCCCCAGGTACCAGGCATGTGAGTGGTACAGAGACATACATGCAGGCAAACATCTGCTCACATTTAATAAAGAAATAAACAAATAATTTTTAACATATGATCAATATAAGATCATTATTACTGAGATGATTTATATTATTTCATTAAATCTCCAAATTTTTAACTCTTAATAGTGCATCTGAATTTAGAGTAACAACATTTCAGGTGCTTAGAGACCATGTAAGGCCATGGTTTGGACACCATAGGGCTTTTGTTCATAATCCCTTTTAGAGCCAGGGGTGGGGCACATGCATGTAATCTGGCACTCAACAGGCTGTGGCACAAGGATCAGTGACTGAACTTTGGAGGCTAACCTGAATACACAGTAAGTTCCAGGCCAGCCTGGGCTACATGTAAAAAAAAAATACAAAAGGCTTGGCCAGATGTAATAGTACTTTCCTTTAGTCCCAGTACTTGGGAGGCAGAGGCAGGTAGATCTCTGAGTTCCAGGACAACCAGGGCTACACAGAGAAACTCTGTCTCAGAAAAAAAAAAAAATCAAGCAAATAATAGTGCTCATGTCATAGCCACCATTTTTTTTTTTTTTTTTTTTTTGAGACAGGGTTTCTCTGTGTAGCTCTGGCTGTCCTGGAACTCGCTCTGTAAACCAGGCTGGCCACGAACTCGTAGAGAGCTGGGATTAAGGGCGTGGGCCACCACCATCTGCTTATAATCATTTTTACCAGAGGACTGTGGTTTATAAAACAGGAAGAAGCAAAAGGCCAATAGGAAAAATGAAATGGAAAGAGAAAGGAAGTCATGACTTACACAGAGCCCCACGTGTACCAAAGAGGCCTGAAGCTGTTCTGAAGTTCTGTGGGATAGCCTCTCCCCACTCTTTCTCTTAACAGTGCCCCCAATGTGACCCTCGACCCTAGCATTCTGAGGCCCACCGGACCCTAGGAAGCAAGGCAACACTCTTGAAGTGGGTGACAACACCTTGCGTTTGGGATTTACAGCTCTTCAAAATGCATGTGCTGTGTCACTCCTGTAGGTTGCCACCACACCCCATGAGGTAGGCAGGACATCGCTCATTCCATCACCAGAAAATAGGTGCAATTCCTGGCAATCTGACTTCAGAGAATCACACCCCCTCCCCACTACCATCCTCCAGTACACCCGCTCAGGGCTCTCCACGTGACAACTAGGAGGCCTTGAGATGAACCCGATAGAACATTCCAACCTTGAAATTCAGATGCTACTGTCCCTGCCATTCTCAATCACACTTGCATGCACGCACGCACACACACACACACACACACACACATACACTGTTTCAGGTATTAAATTAAGCCCTACATTTCTTCTTTTCCCTAATCCTTACAATAATTCGAATACCATTTTTTAGACAAAGAAACAGGCCCACAATGATTAAAGAGTTTATTTACCCAAGGACACACAGCTAGAAAGTCTTAGGACTAGAGTGTAAAGCCAAGGCTCTTCTGAGGGAGGGGCGCTAGGGATGGAGCCAAGAATCTCAAAAATGCTAGGCAACTGCTCTAACCACCGAGTCCCAAGCCTCAGATTAGGGCTTTTAATGGCCATGCTTCCTTGCAGAGCACAGGTGTCCTCTGGGGGTTAGAAGTGACTTCTCCATGATGTTATACACCAACAGAAATTCGATCTGTGTTTTCTGTAGAGGCAGCTTGGAGTTCAGGAAGGTCTGGTGTCTTGCTCTGCTGCTTCCTCTGGGCTCTCCTGCCCTCCAATATAAAAGGCAATAATACAGAATCTGACTCAGTTGTCCGACCTGCTGCTATGTGCCTCACCCACGTTGTAAGTGGGAGGAAGATTCCAGGTGGAGAATCTACCTTTGGGAGCCAGTATCACTCCCAAGATGACTCTAGGGCAGGGCTGTGCAAGGCTTTACATGCTAACCATCTGTCACCATAGTCACAGCCCTAGCCATCCTTTAGCAAGTGTTGCATGGAAGCTCTGCACTTCCCAGGTCTGAAGTGCCAGTCATCTGGGAATAATAGGCATAGAGTTGGTGCTACCCAAGATGGCTCAGGGAGCCAGATGGGAAAAGGAGACCAGACAGGGCCATGGTTCTGAGACCAGCGGTGATCCTGAGAGAGCTGCTTCAGTATGATCCATCCCCCCCAGGGCTGACTTGGATGTGGGCAGGAAGGCTATCATGAAATGCTCCCCAGTGGGTAAAATAGAGACTGGAAGCAGAGGTGAGGCTTCTAGAACCACCTTTGCTACAGCCAGAGAACTGGCTGGACCATGAGCTCAGGACACACAGACGTCTCAGCTGTGGGGATCTCTATAGCAAAATCTTGGGGTCTGAGAGCCCTGGCAGAGTGCTTTGTGTTAGCAACTGTGATGCCCCTTCTGTGTGATGAACTCAATTTCTCTGCCCTCAGTGAAGGCAGGCAAGAGGTTTCGGGGAAGTGCAGTGCAATCTTGTCCCTAATGGTAATCCCTAATGGTAATCCCTAATGGTAATCTCTAGGGTGTCTTGTGTACTCAGTTTGCTCCAAGGTGATCTAGGAGCGCAGGGTATCTGGCAGGGACAGTCAGGGACCAACTGAGCAGCTGGACCTGGGCTGCATGGTGCTCACACCTCTGCCTAGGTCCCCTAGGTAGGGACCTCTCAAATCAAGACAGAATTTCTTCCCAGCACAAATCAAGTCAAACTTTTTTCAAGACAGTGATAGTAGCTATCCATGAAACATGAACCTGAGAACCCAGCTTCCTGGACATCTGCTCTCTCTTGAAGACTAGACTAGTTACAGGTAGAACAAACTCATTATGATTGGGATGTCTGGAAGCCAGACCACCATCCAGGGCACCCCTGAAAGCATCCTCCATTCCAGGCTGCATTACCCAATTATCCTTTCACTTCCTTTTATATCTACCTGTGTCAGTTTACATGTCCCCGCCCTCATGGGCGGATAGCTTTGTGGGGTTCACTTCCTGTCCCAGATACTCCCTATCCTTGCTCCCCATCTTTTATTGGACCAGGGCAGCCAAGGCTTGGCAGAACCCCACCCTGAACAGCCACAATATTTATAGCTGCATCCCTTCTGGGGCCTGTGTTAGCTCCCCAGGGCTCTGCTGCTACCCTTGTTTCTTGCTGAATTAAAATCTGGTTCACTAAGAAGTTCAGGCCTGTAGGTCTGTAGCTTAGTGGTAGTGCATTTGCTTAGTGTACTTGAGTCCCTGATTTCCCTCTACAACACACACACACACTCGAACACCTCTCCTTTCTCAACTGGAGTTATACTGTTCCAATAGTAAGCGTATCTTTTATGGTTCTCTGGCTGGGGTGACAGATAAGGGAGAATGAATTCCTAACACATATTCTTTGGGTGTTTTTGGCTTGCAGTGCCTGCATCTACCTACAGCCCATCCCCAGGAGCCAATTACAGTCCAGCTCCCTATACCCCCTCACCTGCTCCTACTTATACCCCCTCACCTGCACCCACCTATACCCCTTCCCCTGCACCCACCTATACCCCTTCCCCTGCACCGGCTTATACCCCCTCACCTGCCCCGAACTATAACCCTGCCCCATCGGCAGCCTACAGCGGGGGCCCTGCAGAGTCCACCAGCCGCCCACCCTGGGTGACTGATGACAGCTTCTCTCAGAAGTTTGCTCCTGGAAAGAGCACCACCTCTGTCAGCAAGCAGACCCTGCCCCGGGGAGCTCCAGCCTACAACCCAACAGGTCCACAGGTGACCCCTCTTGCCAGGGGCACCTTCCAGAGAGCTGAGCGCTTCCCAGCTAGCAGCCGGACTCCCCTCTGTGGCCACTGCAACAATGTCATCAGGTACAGGCTTTGGTATGGGAGGGGTGGCAGAAGGGAGAGCAGATATAGGCAAAAGGCCAGCCCCACAGGGCAGCCTCAGGTCCCTCTGACTTGCCTCTATGAGCTTTAGCTTCCATACCTGTGTGACACCCACATCTCTGGGGAGTTGGGAGGATTCCATGAGGTAAGTGGGTGAAGCTCCCAGCTTGGTGCCTGATGCCAGGAGCTCCCCCTTGGGCTAAGGCTGGGTTCTGGGAATCTTCAGCCTTGCTGTCAGTAGGTTTATTGAGCACATTGCAAGCTGGGTGACAGTGCTGGTTTTGACCCAGCTTTCCTATAGAGTTGCTTCTGGATCTTTCCACAGACAGTCCCATGCCTCTTATGGGTCTGATAGACACTTCACTGAAATTAAAGCAAGTTATGTCCCTCAGAAGTCGGGGGTCTCAGACCGTGCTGTTAAATGCTGTATGTCTGTGTATGTGTGTGGTATGTGCTTCCATATGTGAAAATCTTTAAGAAACAAGCAGAGGCCAGGCATGGTGGTGCACACCTTTGGCCCCCAGCACTAGAGAGGCAGAAGCAGGCATATCTCTGTAAGTTCAAAGCTAGGTGCTTCTAAAGGCTAGTTCCAGGACAGCCAGGGCTAGAAAGTAAGATCCTGTCCCCAAAACAGAAACAAAATGAGGAGAACTGGGAAACACAGAACTGAAAAAGTTAGAACATGAGGTTTTCTGACAGTTCCAGTATTCTGAATACTAATCGGAAACTGATTAGTATTTGTGGTCTACTGCTTCCTGGTCCTATGACCTTGAATGAGTTCCTTGGCCTACCCATGTCTCTGTTTTCTTTACTTATAACCAGGCATCATAATAGTTCCTCCTTCAAAGAATTGTTATGAGGGTTAAATATATTAACAAATGTAAGATTATTCTTGAAGAGTATCTACCACACAGTAGTTTAATAAGGGTAAGACACCATCATCATTGCTCTCAGAATAACCTGTGAAAAGCTGAGTAAACTGTGACGTTTATGCAGTCCTCTGTGGTAGATATTTGGATTGCTTCCGGGTTCTGTTTGTTAGGTTTTGAAATGTGTGTTCCTTTATCACAGAGTCTCACTGTGTAGCCCTGGCTATCCTTGAACTGACTGTGTAGGCTAGACTGGCCTTGAACTTAGAGATCTGCCTGCCAAGTGCTGGTGTGTGCCACCATGTCCCATCTTCTGGTTCTGTTTATTGTTACTGACGTGACAATAAACATCTTCCTGCATGGAACTTCCTCAGAACTGCTTGCTATTTCATTAGAACAATCCTCAAAGTGGACATTACTAGGTAAATATATGAATATTGTTAGGGTTCTTAACATATCTGGCTCTAATTTCTGGGGTTCTCTTTAATGCTCTTCTCTGTCGTGTCAGGGGCCCCTTTCTGGTAGCCATGGGCCGCTCTTGGCACCCGGAAGAGTTCAACTGTGCCTACTGCAAGAACTCCCTGGCAGACGTGTGCTTCGTGGAGGAGCAGAACAATGTTTACTGTGAGAGGTGCTATGAGCAGTTTTTTGCTCCGCTCTGTGCCAAGTGCAACACCAAGATCATGGGGGTGAGTGGGCGGCACCTCTCTCCTTTGACCCCAACTGCACTGACTCCCTCCCTTCCCCTAACATTTTGGGGTCCCACTGAGAAACACTACCAACAAGCGGCTGCTGACGTAGAAAACAAGTCCGCTTCCATCCTAGGATGGAATCGGTTCGCCACTAACTTCTGAACCGGGGAACTAACTAACTTAGGCAGACAATGGTATACACATACGCCACCAGCTCCAAATAGTGCTGGGGCTCTGAAAAGCAGCTTCTCGCATCACAGCCTGACCTCACGGCTCATCTGCCTGTGGCCCTGACTCTCAGTGTCCTTTTGGCAAAGTGGCCCTAATCAACAGGACCTCCCTTCTCCACCTTTCCCCGGCACCTGCTTTGTGAGCCCTCCTGCCCCGTTCCTAGACTACTCAACAGCAGCCAGGCCTGGTACAGAAGCCAAGCCTAGCTCCCTTTCTCCTGGGAAACTTTCTGTCCTGAACTCAGAGTCTTTCCTCCAGGAAGTGATGCACGCTCTCAGACAGACATGGCACACGACCTGCTTCGTCTGCGCAGCCTGCAAGAAACCCTTTGGAAACAGCCTCTTCCACATGGAGGATGGAGAGCCATACTGCGAGAAAGGTGGGCGTGTGAGGCACGGGACAGGTAGGACGCAGCATGACACCGTGCTGGAGGACCTTGTACCATGTCCCACCTGGGATGACAGGCAGGCATAGAAATCCAAGCCCTCCCTGTCTATGTCCGCTCACACCCGACTGTCAGCGGGAAGATGGGGGTCTTCTGTGCTCCCTTTCCTGTGCGGTACTGGGATTCACACTCAGGGCCTCACAGGAGCTCCCGATTTTGTGTTCAATGGCTGAATCATGCTGTTATACATTAGCTGAACTATTTCCCCTGCTCATTTGGTTTCAGCTTTCGGGGGGAAAGGAGTGAGAGTTACAATGCATTCATACACCAGTCTCTGCTCCCTTCCATGTTTCCAACATTTGAGTCACACATTGTTCCATAAACCTTTCAGGCTGTGTTGGCTTGGAAACCCGGATCTAGTGTGAAAAGGGCCTTAGCTCTAGATGTCATCCTAGGCGCTATTCCTGGCTCCACCCTGAGATGGCTTTGTAACCCTGAGGCTGCTAACCACCTGCCTGGTAGAGCTGATTTGAGGACAGAAGCAGGGAGGGACCAAGGCATGGGATACTCAGTGCCCTTCCCTCCCTACCTGTGGTGCTTTTCAGGGTTCCTTCCATCTCTCTGTATCTTTTTTTTTTTTTTTGTATTGTTTTGGAAGTTGTTCTGGAACTTGCTCTGTAGATCAGGCTGGCCTCGAACTCAGAGATCCACTTGCCTCTGCCTCCCGAGTGCTGGAATTAAAGGCGTGCGCCACCAATGCCCAGCAATCTCTCTGCATCTAGCAGTGTAATATGCTATTGTAACATGTGGGGGATTGAGGAGGGGGCTGCCCCCTTCCTTCACAGCCTGCCCGATAAGGGGAGCATAGACTTGAAGACTGACATAGAAGCACCAGAAAATCAGACAAGGAAAACCAGGGAGGCAGATTATTAGTGATCATCTCATTTTGTAGAATAAATGAGGAAAATGCTAATGCTTAAAAAATAGTATTAAGGCTGGAGAGATAGCTCAGTGGCTAAGAGCACTAGCTGCTCTTCCAGAGTCCTGAGTTCAATTCCCAGCACCCACACGTTGGTTCACAATGATCTATACTAGGATCTGATGTTCCCTTATACATGCAGATAGAGCACTCATATACATTAAATAAATAAATCTTTAAAACATAGTATTAGGCTGGGTGTTGGTGGCGCACGCCTTTGATCCCAGCATTTGGGAGGCAGAGGCAGGTGGATCTCTGTGAGTTCAAGACCAACCAGGTCTACAAGAGCTAGTTCCAGGACAGGCTCCAAAGCCACAGAGAAACCCTGTCTCAAAAAACCAAACCAAAACAAAGCATAGTATTAGTCCTGTCTGTGCTATCAATTTTTAAAGGAGAGCCCCCAGATCACACGAAATCAAGTTTAAAATAGAAAAATCAATCAGTAAGCAAGACTAAAACTTCCAGAAGTAGATTCAAGCTGTTTTAAGAACAAATTCGTGAAAAAATAATAAGGGAAGGAAATTACTATTTAATAAGGCTTGTTGAACCATTTTTTGTTTGTTTTCTGTTCATCTTTTAACTGTAACATATATTGAGTGTTTAGTGTATATCAGTTTCTGTGAGATCTCTGTCCTCAAAAACCCTAAGCAGATGGCCCAGTGGGTAAAGGTGCCATGAGATCTTGGCTGCTAAATTTGACTCCTGTAATCCACATGAAGTACAAGGAGAGAGCCAACCCCACAAAGTTGTCCTCTGACCTGCATACATGCTCCATGGCATAAATCTTGCACACTAAAATAGTAATAGTAAACTTTAAAAATCTTGGGCTGGAGAGATGACTCAGTGATCAAGAGCACTGGCTGTTCTTCCAGAGGTTCTGAGTTCAATTCCCAGCAACCACATGGCTGCTCACAGCTGTCTAGGGATCCAATGCCTTCTCCCAATGTGCAGATGTACATGTAAACAAAACATCAATATACATAAAATAAATATTAAAAAGAATCTTAAGCAAAACAATTAACGTGGGTGTCCTGGCATGGACATTCAAGAATGGGGGATGGACAGAAGATGGATGGGTCCTCTTCCTCCTTTAGCCATTTATGAGATCTTCTAAAATAAGAGCCAGCAGTTAATGTTTATGCCAGATACTTCATGCATTTCTTACTCTGGTCAATAGCAATAATCCCTTGAGTTTGGTGCTATCGCCTATAAATGGGAAAGCTGCGGTCCTAAGAAGCTGCCTCAGGTTTAAAGAACCCTGAATAGAGCTGGACTTGGAACTCCCTTTTCTCCCTTCACACTCCACGTTTGTAACCTTGAAGGCATACTGCCTCTCGGTGTGGTGGACACAATGGATGTCTCTACTGCCCACAGGAGAGGAACAGAGCACAGGAAGAAACTGGCTGTGGTAGAACTCACAAGAGCATTTGGGGGCTGGGGAATGCAGGGAGGAATGACGCATTCAAAGGGGTTCCAACTCGTCTAGAAAAATCTAGAAAATGTCTACAGTAGTATGGTAGTATCGTTATGTCTTGAGAAAGGAGCACAAGACTTGACAAGGCCTCAAGTGCGGGACTCTGGTCTTCATTTCCTTGGGTCTCGATTTCTTCATCCACAAAACAAGACCAAAGTTTATAAAAAAAAATCCCGACTCTGTGAGACATTGTGAAGATCAGATTCGTTCATTTACTGCTTAACCTGTTCGCCACAAGTGTGGTAAATTCACTGATGTACTGATTCACACCTGTGTTGAGTAATGACCATTGCCTAGGGGCTATGTTGGAAGTACAAGGAACAGAAAGGCATGATTCTTGATATTAAGTTTCTTGTAAGAAACCTCACCTGCCTTAGTCCATCTTGTTCTAGGGCAACCAAATGTCTGAGGCAGGGGGATTTACAATGAACAGAAAGGTATTTAGCTCATGCTTCTGAAGGCTAGGAAGGCCATGGTCAAGAGGCCACACCTGCTAAGGGCCGTCTTACATCATTCCACGTGGAAGATGGAGGGGCAAAAGAGAGACAGAGAAAACATGGAGGTCATTTTTATGAGAACCCCACTCCTTCTGAACCTATTCCCTCAATAATAACACCAATTCAGTCAAGAAATAGAGGCCGTGTGACCTAACCGTCTCCCGTTAGACTCTGCCTCCCAACACTATTGCCGTGAGGAGTATGCTTCCTACATGTGATCTCTGGAAAGCACGTCTTTGTGAAAGTTGTCAGTAGACTTTGAAGCACTATGAATGGCATTTTGTAGTGTTACCTCCCTCTTAGGGGAGAAGGAGGATGTAGCCCTGTAAAAGTAACTCAAATATTGTTCATAGTAGTAAAAAGTTGTTGTCAACATGAACGTCCAATGACAGAAGAATGGCCAAGCAAACATCATTCTAAAATTGCTAGAGTTTTAAAGACGGGCTGCGGAGATAGCTCAGTGGTAAAACCACATGCAGTTCTCTTACCAGCACCCATGTCAGACAGTTCACAATTGTCTGTAACTCCAGTACTTGAGGACCCAACACCTTCTAATGGCATCTATGGGTATCTGCCCTCCCATGCATATTAACACCCCCCACATACAAACATATAATTAACAATAAAAAATAGGCCGGGCGTTGGTGGCGCACGCCTTTAATCCCAGCACTCGGGAGGCAGAGGCAGGCGGATCTCTGTGAGTTCGAGGCCAGCCTGGTCTGCAAAGTGAGTTCCAGGACAGCCTCCAAAACCACAGAGAAACCCTGTCTCGAAAAAAAAAAAACAATAAAAAATAAATCTTAAAGCAACAACAACAAAATCCTTCAAGAGTCTGGGCCTGTAAACTGGCCAGGTTTTGGTGACATCCCAGTACTCAGGAGGTAGAGGCAGGTAGATCTTTGAGTTCGAGGCCCGCCTGGTCTGCAGAGCAAGTTCCAGGACAGTCAGGGTTGCACAGAGAAACCCTGTCTCAAAAAAGGAGGTAGACGGAAGCACGTACTGCTCAGAGCACCCACGTTCTGTTCCTAGCACCCACATAGTGTGCTTTAACAGCCTATAACTCCAGCTCCATAGGATCCTCTGTAGACACCTGGACTCATGTATACACACAAAACTAAAAATAAAATAAAATCTTAAAGAAAAAAAAATACCCTCATCCTTCCAAAATAAGCCTAGTGACTGGGCAATGAGGACTATTTTTAAGTTTCTGTTTGCGGATTGACCTCTTCAGACTATCGGAGGAGACAGAGAGAAAAGAAACAATCACCCTTAAGGAAGTTCAGATCAAACTAGCATATGGTGGTAATTAAGTTCAAGTCTGAGTCTGAGTCTGTACAACATTGGTACAAATTACTGAAAGGGTGAAAAATAAAATCAATCACGTGAGTATTTTGTTTGCTAGATGATAAAGCCCACCCCCCTAGCCCACTGGCATGGGGCCTGTCTTGGTCTTGGGTCTGTGTGGCAGATCGCTCTTTTCTCCCGGCTCACTTTGACTTTAATTGCAGACTACATCAATCTGTTCAGCACCAAGTGTCACGGCTGTGATTTTCCTGTGGAAGCTGGCGATAAGTTTATCGAAGCCCTGGGGCACACCTGGCATGACACCTGCTTCATCTGTGCGGTATGTTTCTCGCCTATAGTTCCAGCTATCTGAGCAGGGGACAGAGGGGACAAAGTGCAGCCTAGTGGGCCAACCTCTTGACACACAAGGATACAACTGTGGCGCTCTGGTACCATCATGGTTCTTTGTTTGTTTGTTTGCTTTTCGAGACCATAATGGTTCTTAAAGTTTGCCAATGCTGTGTCTTGATGTGTCACGGGTAAAGAAAGACGTATTACCAATGACTACAGATCAGTAGCAGCCAAGTACCATAGGGTTTGGAGAATCGGCATGTTGTCTTACCAGAAATAGGTGAGGGCAGCAAACAATGGGTTAGAGAAGCAGGTGGCTTCCCCAGGTGATCTGCTGCTTTGGTCATGAAGTGGTGTGAAGGCTTCACCACGAACCCCATCCTCGGTTTATTGACTAGGCCTCTGAAAGGCTGAGATAGGGTTTCTCTTGGTAGAACCTTTAGAAAGCAGGCTGAGTATCACTTTACATTCCTAAGTGGTCCTGTTCTTGATGTACAGTGGCCGGCAGATAAGCCTGAGATTGACTATTAGCCGTGTGCAGTTAGCTGAATCAGCAGGGCATCTGCCTAGGAGGCTGGCCTTCCCTTTAGCGGGCTTTCAGCTGAGATGAGATTGTGAAACTCTGCAACCACTATTCAGACTTGAGTAATGTCAGTCTGACAGGCTTAACTTTGTTTAGAAAAATGAATGAACTATTGGTATTTTAAGGACCAGAGTTACTCAAGGTAAATGTGGGGTATGTATGACAAAACTGTTCCTTTTAGGGGCTGGGGATGTAGCTCAGGTGGTAGACTCTTTACCTAACATGTTAGGTAATCTTAGGCTTCATATAAACCAACTGTGGTAGCATGCACATATAATCTCAGCACTTGAGAAATGAAGGCAGGAGGATCAGAAGTCCAAGGTCATTCTCAGGTCATTCAAGGTCATTATCAAGGTCAGTTTTGGGTAAAGGAGGCCCTGTCTGTAAGGATTCAGGCACTATGCTGACCTACCCTGTCACTTGGCAGAATGCTCTTTCCACTGTTTCTTTCCAAATCTCTTTTTCTCTCTCTTTCCCACTGTTCCCCTGGGGCAGACAGGACTTTTCCTGTCTCCCTCTTCTCTTCTGTCCTCTCTCTGTGTCTCTATGACCCTTTACCTCCTTTTCTCTTTCCTTCCCACCTTCCCTCCCCTTACTAATAAAACTTCTCACTCAAGCTCTGGCGTGTTTGTCCTCTGCCTCAGTCACCCTCACCTGCCATGGAATCGGCCAAGGTCCCCCATGCAAGGTTCACCACACTTTATCATAACACTGTCTATGGATGGATGGATGGATGGATGGATGGATAGATAGATAGATAGATAGATAGATAGATAGATAGATAGATAGATAGATAGATATCTGTCCTGCTTAAGCCTGAATAATCCCTCAGAGACTTAGGATGGAGGACAATCCTAGTCATCAAGTTCACTGCCACATGTTCTGAGTTCTGTACTAAACTGTATATTAATTTCCTAATGTACAATAACAAGCACAGCAGAAATGTATCCTCTCATAGTTCAGCAAGGCAGAAATCAAAACTCAAAATGCTGACAGACAGCCACACTCTCTCCAACCTCTGCTTGCTAGCCATATTTTCACTCCCTGGTTAGTTTAAATGTTCTCGTCTTTGCCTCTGTTGTTACAGTCCCCCAGGTGTGTGTGTGTGTGTGTGTGTGTGTGTGTGTGTGTCTGTGTGTCTGTGTGTCTAGCCAAGGCTGGCCTTGAACTTCGTAGCTGAGGATGACCTTGAATTTCATTGTTGTTTTTTCACAGGATCTCACTACTAACCCCGGCTGTCCTGGAATTCACAGAGACCCGCCTTCCTCTGCCTCTCAAGTGCTGGAATTAAGCCTCATGACTTTGAGCTTCTGATCCTCCTGTCTCTACCTCCCAAGTTGTATCTGTATTTTCACATGGTTTCTCCTCTGTGTAAATGTTATCTGTTTTCACAGGCATCTTCTCTCTTATAAGGCTACAAGTCATACTGGAGTGAAGACCAAAGGCTACCTTCCTCCAGTATGACATTTTTTTTATGAGACAGGATTTCTCTGTGTAGCCCTAGGTGTCCTGGAACTCACCACTCTGTAGACCCCAGACTGACCCTGAACTCAGAGATCCACCTGCCTCTGCCCCCTGAGTGCTGGGATCTCTGCATATAAATTTTAAGGCACAGAATACAAATCCTTACCACTTCTAGCATTCTCTGAACAGATTGTTTAGTTGCTTTTAAAGGTTCCTTAGATATGTAAGGGCTTCTCCCCAAAAGGGACCGTGTGTAATTCTCTACTGTAGGACGGCCTCCCGCATAGCTGGGACTCAGCCAGGTGGAGCATGGGAGACTTGACTCTTTCAAGCTTCAGCTTGCTTGACTGATTACAAGCTTGGGTAGCCAGTGTCTAGAAGGATCCAAGAGACTTGGAGAAGGTCCAGGAAGGGTGCACAGAGGCTGAAGAGAGGGGCCATGCAGCATGCAGAGGGAATCCTGCAGAGGTCGTCAAGGGGCTAGAAAAGGAATTCTAGAAGAGAAACAGGAGGAAGTAAATTTAGGGTAGAGCAGAGTTCAGAGAATAAAGACCAGCCAAGGACGAGAGGCCCATAGCAAAGCCTAGCGGATTCGCCAAAAGAAACTGGGACCATCTTGCCCCTTGGGAAGTGGCGTGGGGATCTGGGGATCGTCCAGTCTTCCTCTTGAGTCAGCCCCATTCGGTCCTCACTGCTCTGTGGAGACAGTGAAGTAGAGCACGGTTCTAGTATTTGGGAAGAAACCTTTAGGTTGGAAAACTTTAAGACCTATGGTCTCCCTTCCTCCCTGCCTGCTTGCCTGCCTGCTTGCCTGCCTGCCTGCCTGCCTGCCTGCCTCCCTCCCTTCCTCCCTCCCTGCCTGCCTCCCTCCTTCAGTGCTAGGACGTGACCCTGAACTCTGTATGTGTCAGACAAGTGATCTGCCATGTATTAAATTCCCGAATCATACTTTCCTCCTCCCCTTCCTCTTCCTTCTCTTCGTCCTCCTTCCCTTCCTCCTCCTCCTCCTCTCCATCCTCCTTCCCTTCCTCCTTCTTCTCAAGGGTCTTCTTTCTGTCGTTTTACATTTCCGAATCACTTCCTTGTTTGTTTGTCTGTTATGTAGTCCAGGATAGGCTTAAGGTCCTAATAGCCTCTTGAGTTCTGGGTGTGCAAGCATGAACCATCAACCCTGGCTCTAAATCCCTTTGTCTTTGTTTGCAATAAGGCCTCACTACATGGCTTCAGCTGAACTTGAAGTAATACTCCTGGAATCACAAATTTATGCCACAATATGCCCAGCTTCCAAATTGTTTTTAGTAAGCATATGTCTTCGTGTGATATTTTTAACCTGCACATACCACAATAATAATTAAAAAACAAAACAAATCGCCGGGCGGTGGTGGCACACGCCTTTAATCCCAGCACTCGGGAGGCAGAGGCAGGCGGATCTCTGTGAGTTGGAGGTCGGGCTGGACCGATAGCCTCTGAAACAATACAGAGAAACCCTGTCTTGTAAAAAACCAAAAAAAAAACAAACAAACAAACAAAAACAAAACAAATCAACCAACCAGCCAACCAAACCAACCAATAAGAAAGACTGAGACTAGCTCTTTTTATGGCTGCATTCTTTCTTTACCAGTTAAATCAGGGGATGTAGAACATTGTTAATTTTTTTTTTTTTAGGACAAGGTCTTATGTAGCTCAGACTGGTCTCTTGAACTCAGTATTTGCAAAGGTCACATGGGTCTTCTAGTGGCCCATGGAAACCAATAAATTGAAATACACTGAAAAATTACCTATTTCCCAGTCTGTACCTCCCAAGGAAGGGCTGGAACTATAAGTGGGCACTATCCAGCCTCCTGGTTCATACACATTCATATATATATATGCGCATATATATCACATATATATGTGTTTGTACACATATATAATATATGCACATACAACATACGTCTATACATATATGTGTGTAATTTTTATCATTTTAAATTTCTATGTATGCCTGCGTGTGTGTGTACTCATGCACTCATGTACGTGCAAATTCATGTATCTGCAGAGGCAATAGAAGGAGTCAGAGCCTTTCGAGCTGGAGTTATAGGCGGTGTGAGCTGCCCAATATGGGTGCTAGGAACCATACTCTGGTTCCCTGCAAGAGCAGGAAGTAGTCTTAACTGATGAGCCACCTCTTTATCTCTAACATACTTTTATTTTACAAACTTTATTATTATTGTGAAGGTATATTTTTTAATGTTAAAACTGTATTAGCATCGTGTTAAGTATCTGTGTGGGAATGATGTGTGTGAGTAAGTGTAGGACCTCTGGTGCCATGGTCTGAGTGCAGAAGTCAGAGAAGACTGTGGAATCGGTTCTCTCCTTCTGCGTCCATGGGGATTATAGGGATTGAACTCAAGTGCTCAGGCTTGCATAGAAGTGCTCTTAGCTCACTGGAGAGGAATTCAGTTTGCAAATTTTCCTGGAATTTGGGGGTAAGAGTATCCTAAAGCAAGTCTCCATCCACCTTTATGGAATCTAGAATTTTAACAGAAAAATGAGCTAACAGTTATGAGTAATTTGGAGGTCTCCCAAATCCAAAGCATAGAAAATAAAGGCTTGAAGGCTAAGGTGGGGGTAAGCTTCCAATACATGGGCCCTTAAGGGACAAACTCCCTCCAAATCCTAGCACCTGGTTGCATTCAGCATCGCTGTAACTACCTGGGGCGTTCCCAGGTAATTTTTCAGTCTGTTGGCTTCCACGAACCACTAGAAGCCCATATAACCCAAGTATGAATTCCATATAATCCAAATATGAATCCCATATAACCCAAGTATGACTTCCCCAACTGGGCCATCAGGATGTCCCTTTCCAACCTTTGTTGAATGTATCTCAAGTTCAACTCAGGGGGGAATTGTCTCCACTCTATGACTACCTGTATGTAAGGACTCATCTTAGTTTCTTTCCTGCTGTTGGGATAAACTATTCTGATAAAACAACTCAATGGAGAAGAGGTTTTATTTTAGCTCATGATACAGTCCATCCCGGTGGGGAAATCAAGGCAGCAGGTGCTAGAAGCAGCCGGCCGCAGTCAGAAGAGAGCAATGATGCATGCTTGCTGCCGTTGCTCAGCTCGTTTTCGCCATTCCATTCACTCCAAGGTACCCTGCCTAGGGAATGGTTTCACCCGCAATTAAGATGGGGCTTCCCACATCACTTAATGTGTTCAAGACAATCCCTCACAGGTGATCCCAGATCCTGTCACACTGACAACAGGCTGGTTTTGAGGTCAGGATCTAGATACAGCTTCCAATTCTGCTCCCCAGTAAGGATGCTCAGTGCCCTCTCTAATGGAGCCCATCCTAGCCAGAATGACTTCCAAGACAACACTCACATGTCAGCATTTTGCCCACTTGGGGTCTGGTTCACATATTGGTAACCCAATACCCCAGACAACCTCTGTGCAAAGCCAGGAGCTCAGAGCTGTTTCAAATAAACACAGCCTGTTTTGCTGTGGAATTCAGGAACAAGTACCATGGAACTGGGTTCTTACAGCCCTGGACATGATTCCCAGCTGTAAAGTTTACTAGGTCTGTGACTTAAGCAAAATATTTGGGCTCTCTGAGTCCCAGTTTTTGAATTGTGAAATTAAATGAGGCAATCTCACTGGAACCACAGTGACCTCAGCAAAGATGGATATGTCCCCTTCGTCCCAGAATGTTTCTATCCTCAAACTACTCTCATATATTTTTATCATGGGGACATATAACTTTGATTTTTACATATAATATTTTCCTGAATGCACTTTTCCCTGTTTGATTGGTCTTTTTCCCATGGTTGTACCAGATTTTCCTTTTTTGGCCACCAAACACAAGACTTCTTGTTAGTTATGAATGCTCGACCTAACTTATGCTCATTTCTGGCTAGGTTTTATAAGTGAACCTGATTCTCTTCATCTACTTTTTGCTTCAGGGCTTTTTACCTCTCTTTCTGTATGTCCTACTTTGTCTAACTGGCTGACTGGCCCCAGGCTTTTCTTCTTTTCTTTCTGGCCTATCCCTCTTCTGCTTAGCTATTGGCCATTCAGCTTTTTATTAGACCAATTAGGTGCCTTAGGCAAGCAAGGTAAAACAGCAACACATCTTTACATAATTAGACAAATGCAGCATGAACAAATGTAGCACACCTTTACACAATTAAAGTAATATTCCACAGCATAAACAAATACAACAGGGCTGGGTGTTGGTGGCGCACGCCTTTAATCCCAGCACTCGGGAGGCAGAGGCAGGCAGATCTCTGTGAGTTTGAGGCCAGCCTGGTCTACAGAGCAAATTCCAGGACAGCCTCCAAAACAATACAGAGAATCCCAGTATTGAAAAATGAAAAAAAAAAACACATCTTTGCCTAAAGTAATATTCCATAATACATGTAGCATCCCATTGGAAGTTGTATCACAAAAATGTATGCAATTATCTTTCTTCAGAAAGAAATTTCATTAATATGTCCTTAGTATTACATAAATAATTCCTTTTGGGCACTGCTCATTTTTTAATTGGGTACTTTTTTCTTTACTTTTTTGGCTACCCTCATAAAATATTAAGGGTGACAAGACATTGAAGGTTTTTATCTTATCTATTTTGTTATGTTAATAGGTATGATATCTCTGAGAGATCTTCATTTCCCCTCTGAATTAATTACTGAGAACAATCTTTGATGTTTTCTTAGTTTACTAATAGAATTTACTTAAATGTTAATCCTTTCTGTGGGAATTGAGTTGTTAACTTGTACTGATTCCATATATGCTTTGAATAGTTCTACAACTTTGCATGGCTTAGAGATTGCCCTAACTGGGGCATCAGAATAAAGAAACAACAGATACATACATGCACAGAAAAGCTAGGACTGGGTGGATCATGTTCTCTGATACAGAGAGGGACTACCAGCAGCTTAGAAACTTAAGTTTGTTTTAGACATCTGAATTGAGGGGGCCAGGTTGTTATATACAGCTAAACAAGGAGATAGGTTTAGCCAGTATCTACAAGGTAACAGTCTACATCTGAATTGAGGGAGCCAGGTTGTTATATACAGCTAAACTTGGAGACAGGTTTAGTCAATATCTACAAGGTAGCAGTCTCAGGCTACAAACGTCCTGGAGAAGGAAGTTGTGGCCCACATTTCCTACCTGTCTTAGTTGGGGTTTCTTTTTTTTGTGAATCATGACCACAGCCACTCTTATGCAGGAAAACAGTTAATTGGGGGTGACTTAAAGTTCAAAGAATTAGTCTTTCGTCCTCATGGGGGGAAGCATGAAGCACACAGACAGACACAGTGCTGGAGAGGTAGCTGGGAATCCTACATCTGGATCATCAGGCAGCAGGAAGAGAGAGTGAGCCACTGGGCTTGGCTTGAGCATCTGAAACCTCAAAGCCCACACCTAGTGATGCATTTTCTCCAACAAGGCCACGCCTCCTCCATCAAGCCCATACCTCATAATAATGTCACTCCCTATGGGCCTACAGGGCCATTTTCATTCAAACCACCACAACCAACATCTACACACAGGCCAGAAGAATACTTCGTTATTTCCCCCAGTCTGATCAGCAGAAGTCTTTGCTCTTCCTATTGGTCTGAGGCACTGGGGTCCTTTACCTGCCTCTGCTCATGTCAACAATATATATTCACTCAGGACTTCATCTGCTCCTCACAGCATAGCACAAATTAGACATTTTAATCACATATGTATTTTCTATTCCACTAGATTTAATTAATTAGAGTCCACGCTCTTCAGAAGTCTTTATCTTGCTTTGGTATTTACTTACATGTTTATAGACAGAGTTTCAAGCAGCTAAAATGACCTTGGCCTTTCTGACTCTCCTGCTACCATAGCATTAGAATTACAGGCATGCTCATCAAACCTGGTCATGTGGAGATCAAAGCCAGGGCTTTGTGTACAATTGCCAAGCAACTGGCTACATCCTTAGCCCCCTGGAAGTCCTCATGTTATATTGTTCAACCTACACAATCTGTTTAGTCATTAAGACTTTGTATCGGGGGCAGAAAAACAGGCTGCGTCTTCCCTTAGCTGGGTCCAACAGTGCATTTCCCTAAAACGGTGACTTTGTCCCCCCCCCCCCGTAAGTTCTCACTAAATAGCCCAGTTTAGTCCTTGAACTCACGACCGTTCAGCATCAGGCTCCCAAGTGCAGGGATTAGGAGCATGCCTGAACTCTTTCGTGTCTTCCCTGCTACAGGGTCCTATCTTACACCACTCTGTTTCCCCTCCCAGGTCTGCCACGTGAATCTGGAGGGACAGCCATTCTACTCCAAGAAAGACAAGCCACTGTGCAAGAAGCATGCACATGCCATAAATGTGTAGAGCCCCGGATGTTCCCGCTTCGACAATGGAGGAGTCAAAGAAGCCGACGTTTCTTCTTGGGGGGGGGCAAGAGAAGTGGTAGAACCTTTTGAAGTCTAATTTTAGTCTTTTCTTGTACACACAGATTGTGTATTCATGTAGTTCAGACTAGAAACCAAAAGAAGATTCTAAACCCAGCTAGTAATTAATCCACTGCTGGAACTGCGCTTCAGACATTTGGGAAAGAATTCCGAGAAATCAAAAGTCAAAAACAAAAAGCAGTGCTCAAAAATGATACACCTCCCCGGCCATCACTGCCACCCGTGCAGGGACAGTGCTCAGGGCAGTTGTGGAGGGTCCAAAACTCACAGCAGAGTTCTGGAGAGCTCCTTGGCAAACACAATGATGTGGCAAACAGTATTTGCTCTGGGGTTATTTTTAGAACGGGCACTGAGAGCTCCTTAGCTTAGACCCATTGGGCCTTCCTCACCAAAAAAGGAAGAGTCGTTCCGTTAGCATCACAGAGTTTCCTCAGCACATCAGACTTCAGATGTTGAACAAACTCGAAATCTGTAAGGGGAGCCCAGACTTCTGAAGCGATGTCGGGCCACTGCTGAGCAAATGGGGAGACCCCGGAAAGGTCTTTGACTAGTGCCACAAACAACCGAGAAAAGATGGGCTCTCTCTACATCTCCCCCTTTCAGTCTGGAACATCTGATGTCTCTGGACGGCCTTGCTCCTTTTTGGATTGTCATGGGAAAGTGAATTGGGTTTCTCCTGTTTTGCTTTGCAATGTGTCCGAAGAGGTTTGCAAAGGACTCTGGGGTCGGGTTTAGTCTTTGTTTTGCTTGAAAGAGGGTCCCGAGCATGACTGTTCCGTCCGTGCATGAATTTCACCCCACCCACCACTGCTTATGGTGTGTGTGGGGGGGTGAAATATGTCTTCCTCCTCCCCACCCGCAGACAGGCTCAGTGGAAAGAAAAGAGAGATGGCATCGAACACAGGATGGTAGAACAGGCTCTCACGCCCAACTGTGCATGGGGAGAGGACCTTGCTCTCTGCCAACCTCAGCACCGGCTGCGGGACCCGTCTTCAGGGCCCGCTTGCGCTCTTTGCTTGTGCCTTCAAATGCAGCAGCCATTTATGTAATCATGCTGACTGCTGCGGGCAGGGGGAAGGTACATGTGCCATTTGGGCCGATGTTTTGAAAATAGCTGAGTGGATTTAGCATATTTATTGAAATAGACCTGGCCCTCAGAGTCCTTTTCAGATATGGAGCCCGGTAGAAGTAGAGAGAGTGGCTTCCTTTCTGGGTCTGGAGATGGCAAGCTCACTTTTCCGTCTAGGAAGCACTGTTGGGAAGGATGCTCATTGGAAATGGCATTGAAGCAGGCTGTGTGTGTATGTGTGTTTCCCACGGGAGCACAGAGCTTAGGCACCGTGCAGACTCGATGCCCTCCTCTCTTTGCTCCTGTTTTGGATTTTTTTTTTCTCTTTGCACATTTGAAATGCTTTGTAGGAATGCATTCAAACTCTTTCTTTTGAGAACTAAGGCTTCCAGGCGACAGTCATCCTACCTAAGGGTCTCTCCCAGTCAGACACAGCCTGACGGGAAGCCCGCAGCACGGAGGAATGTCAGAACAATGTCAGAACTGCTGGGACAGCCTGGAGCTTTGCTCAGACACGGAACAGGGCCTTGGGCCTCCTGTTGTTTTTGGAAAGTTCAAATTTGCAGGGACGAGGAGCTTGCTGACTAAGCAGAAAGGTTTTTAAGCAGTTGCATTTCCAAAATAGTATCTATTAAATGATCAGGAACTGGTCTTGAGGAAGGGAAATAAAAATCCCAACCATTGTGTTTCCCAGATCTCTTTTTAAAGTTTTTTATGCATGCGCACAGACACTACTCCTGTGTAATTTGTCATTTTCTGTAGGCTCTTCAAGAAGAGAAGCAAAATATTCCAGAGGAAAGCATCACTGTCATCCTAGATTAAGTAGTTGTGTTTTAATATTTAATAGTCATGTACATTCATGAAGGGCTTTTATTTTTAAAAAACAATTTTTTTCAGGGACTAAGTGTAACCCAGTGGTACAGAATTTTCCTACCATTCAGGATGCTCTAACTGCAGTCCTCAGCACTGCCAAAAACCAATTTAAACTAGCAGGAAAGGGAGCTAGTTTCTAGAATAGTACACAGGGTAAACCTACATAGTGATAAGATTAAAGGCTGTGTGGCGATCAGGTTAACATCATGGCTTTCCTGTGACAGCAAACAGTTTTTACTGGTTCACAGAAGTACAGTTTGTCTTGTCTTCTTATTGTTGGCATAAATCTAATGTACCGATAGGCACTCACCTTTTACAGTAGGATGACTTGTATTGGCAGTGTTTGTGTTACCAATCTAGTCTTTGTAATGTGAACTTTTCAACCCAAGCATTCTTGGGTCCTTTTCCTTTCTTTTTGGCAAGCTTTCTGAAGTGGAATAGAATGTGTTACAGGAGTGCACAACACTGTTCTGCATGTTTTTACTTCTTCTTCTTGTCTTTCTTTTTGGTGGGAGGGTCTGTGTAGATTCTTTTTAGCAAAATAAAATTCAGAAAAAGATGCACAAATGCTAATTTTTATTCTATGAAAAGCTCTTTTATTTGCCATTTGAAAACAAACAAACAGCCGACATCTAGATGGCCACAAGTGAAAGTATGAGACAAAAGTGTCCTGAGAATGAGAAACACTCTTTGCTTGGTCTGCTGCACAACAGAAAATTCATTCTATTTAATCAAAGTTGTATGAATAACACAATTTTTTTTTTGAGACTGGAGCCCATCCTGGCATTCGCTTTGTAGACCAGGCTGGTCTCGAACGCTTCCACCACCACCCGGCCATAAGTGTTTTCTATAGAAAAGGAATTAATAATCCAGTCTTGTATTTTTCCAAAGGTGCTTTTAGTTACTTGGTGACCCAATATTCCACATTTAGTTCTCACAACAGAGCCTCTGCCTCTGGCACCTCAGACATTATGATCAGATTGTTATCTTTTGAATTGTTATTTCATTTTACTGTTTTTAGTGTGTGTGTAGGGGGTAGGTGTAAGAGCACATTGCCATGGTGTGCATGTAGGGGTCAGAGGACAACTTTCAGGAGTCTCCTTCCGCCTTGTGGGTTCTGAGTCCCGACGACCATCACCATGTTTAGAAGCAGGTGTCACTACCCACTGAGCCAGCTCCGTAGCCCAGCTGTTTTATTTGTTTGTTTTGCTTTTTATTTGCAAACTTCTATATATGCTTTAAATTTGCATTTGTTTTTATTTTATGCTTATAAGTGTTTTGCTTGCATGTGTGTATGTTCACCATTGGTATGCCTGGTATCTTTGGAGGACAGAAGAGGGTTTTGGATCCTCTGGAACTGGAGTTGCTGATGGCTGTGAGCCTCTCTATGGGTGCTGGAAATTGAACCACCGTGGTTCTCTGCAAGAGCAACAAGTGATCTTAACCACTGAGACATCTCTCCAGGCCCAACTTTAAATTTTATTTTCATTGCTTTTTAACCATGTGTATGTGTCTGTGTGTGTCTAGGCATATGAGTATAGGTGCCTGTAGAGTCTAGATGAAGGTACTGGATTTCCCTGGAGCTGTAAGAAGTGGTGAACTACCTAACTTGGGTGCTGGGAACCAAACTCAGGTCCTCTGCAACAGTAGCACATGCTCTTAACCACCAAGACATCTCTCCAACCCCACAGATTAATCTTTACTTTTTACCACATAGCTTCAAATGTAAAAAGGTTTCTGTATTCCTTTCATTTCTTTTTTTTTTTTTGTCAAGTAAGTTCAGAGGAAAATTTAGTGGCATTGAGAAAAAATAATATCCAGCATGGACAAAGCCCTAGGCTTGGTTCCTAGACCTTACAAACCATCCCATGACTCAGGAGGTAGAGACAGGAGTTCAAGGTCATCCAGGACTGCATAGTGAGACCTTGTCTTAAAACAAACAAACTTATTTTAGTAGTGATAGCATTCTTAAAAAATAGACAATAAGCCAGGCATTGGTGGTGCATGCCTTTAATCCTAGCACTAGGGAGGTACTTTGTGAGTTCATGGCCAGTCTCTGGTCTACAGAGTGAGTTCCAGGACAGCCTCCAAAGCAATACAGAGAAACCCTGTCTCGGAAAACCAAAAAAAAAAAAAAAAAAAAAAAAGCGAAACAAAAAAAATAGACAATAAAGAAAATCTCATAAAATCATAAATTTGGAGGTGACTAAGAGTCCTCAAGGGCCCTTCTAAATGTGAGACTAATGTCTGGAGGGATGCTGACCCGTTATAGAGTCAGCCAGAAACCATAGAATAAACATAAACTTTGACATGAGGAGACCTGGGCTTGGATCAAGGCTATTTTATACACTTTTAGTGATATTAAATAAGACCCTTTTCAACTGTTTATCTGAAAAAGGTGATGACACTTGCACCACAGAGATATTCTACAAATCAAACGTAAAAACTTCTGAAGAAACTGCAATTCAAATTTTCACCAAATGTAATGTCGTTATTGCCAGCACCAAAGCCATCGACCCTGCTGCATTTTCTTCACTCCTGCTCTTTTTCCACTCCCTACACACACACACATACACACTCACACTCACACACTCACTCACACTCTCACACACACTCACACACATTCTCTCACTCACACACACATACACTTTCACTCACACACACATACTCACACACACACTCTCACACACGCACACACACACAGTCTTCTGTGAGAGTTAGCAGTGAGAATAAATGGATAACAAATAGAAATCAGAATTTGACATCATGAATTACTATCATTGACTGGGGGTTGGAGGCAAAATTTAAAAAGTATTTGTCTGAGCTACGCATGGCAGTTCTCATCTGCAATTCCAACGAATGGAAGGCAGAAGAAGACCAGGCTGGAAGTTCAAGGCCAGCCTGACCTACACAGTAAATTTCAGACAAGCCAGAGCCCTATGGCGAGACCCTGTCTCAAAACCAAATAAACAAGCGTGTTCTTTTGCTCACTCATTCATTCAACAATATTTGGTCTTTTCTGGTGGTGACAGAAAAAGACCTATGAAAAAAGACCTCTCCCAAAGGATCCCCACCCTCTCCAGATGAAGGAGACCTGGTACAGAGCCTCAATTCCTACCCCAATGATGCTGTAAGACCACCATGGCCCAGGGTGGTGATGCATTCCTTTAACCCCAGCATTCATGATGCAGAGGCAAGCAAACCTCTGTGACTCAGAGGCCAGGATGGTCTATATTTCGAGTTTCAGGTTAGCCAAAGCTGGTAAAACCCTGTCTTAAAAACAGAGCTACCTGACTAGTCCTCAGCGGTCCTGGGCAACGCACACATGGTGTGTGTTTGTGATTTTGTTAGCTTTAGTTAGCTTACAAAGAAGATTTCCTTATGGCGTGTTCATAGCTTGGGTTGACCTTCCCTTCCCCGCCTCTCCCCTTGGCTGCGCTCCCTATCTCCTCTTACACCTTTCTACCCAGTGTTCCTTTCCAGCCTATGTCACACGTGCATGACTGTCCCCCCACCAACAGACAGTTGTTCTGTGTGTCGTCTGCTCCACTGCGCCCCGTGACAGACTACAGGAGAGAAAGCAAAGCTTACAGAAGGATGTCCCTGCGGAGGAAGCACTCTGAGCATAATCGGAAGCCATCCCCAAAACACATTTTGGATAAAACAACAATGCACTGAGCACTCACCAAGTGTCGAGGGGACTGCTCTGCACAGTGAAAACGAGACTGTGAATTCAAAAGACAAATGATCCAGTTTCCAGGAACTTAAACCCCAGGAAGTTGGAATCAGCCAAAGTAGAGAAATAACGTGTGTCGGGTCCATTCTAAGTGGAAGAAATATTTGGGCAATTTAAAGGTGGTCTCCAGGCTAATAATGGCAAGACTTGCCCGAATTTGTGATAAGGACAAGGCATGGAGAGAGAGTTTCAGATGAAATGAGCTTAGCAGCGGGCTTTCCAAGGAATGTGTAACTCTGGCTTGTAAAATCTATGTAAAACACTGCTTTGAGTTTTTCTTCTTTGGTGTTTCGAGACAGGGTTTCTCTGCAGCTTTGGAGGCTGTCCTGGAACTAGCTCTCCTAGACCAGGCTGGTCTCCGAGGACAGGTCCAGAATCCAATGTTTCTTCTCAGTGCTCCACTCACATTGTAAACCATTCATCCAACCTGGGCAACACATGGCTCCTTGATGTATGTTGTTTATGTCCCGGTAAACTCATGAGCTGACAATATCGTAAGTAAAGACTGCATTGAAGGAACTGGGGTGTCAGTAGATGATAGTAGAGTGCTTGTCTATCATACATGAAGCCCTGGCTTCTAGCTGTAGCAAAAATGTAGAGAGTGTGGTGACATCTGCCTGTTACCTCGGTGCTCAAGGGATGGCGGCAGGAGGATCAGAAGTTCAAGGTCATCCTGTTGTCCTTGGCTACTCCAGGCCAGCTGGCCTGGGAGCTTCTGATGGACTACCCTGTCTCTGAATTACATCTCTAAGCAGGGGTTCTGAAGTTACAGGTGCAACCCATCCTGTCCCATCCCATCCAGCTTTCTGCCCAGGCTCCAGGGAATGAACTCAGGTCATCATTAATTGGACTTGCACAGTTAGCATCTTCACCTGCTAAACTAGCTTGCCAGTCCATAAGCTGCTTTGATTGTGTGGTCGGGAAAGACCGTTCTGAGGAGGTGACAGTTGAATGATGAGAAGAAATAAACCACACCAAAGTTTGGGGATGGAGGCCAGCCAGAAGGACAAAGACCAGGGAAGGGACATAAGGGGAGCAACTGGAATCCTGAGAAAGCACAGTGGGCCTTGGCTACCCTGAAGAAAACTGCCTATTACAAAGGGAGAGAATAAATGATTGACAACAAGGAAAAGAAACTGAATTCCGACAAAAAGCAAGACTTTCATTTTTCTTCTAAAACATTTCACTTGGAAGAAGTGTCCAAAGTTCAAGCAGTTCTAGATTGTAGACAGACTTTCCCCTGTCCTGGCAGATGCTCCCAAATAACCATTCAGAGACTTAATATCTATTATAAATGCTCAGCCATAGCTTAGGCTTGTTTTTAGCTAGCTCTTATAACTGAAATTAACCCATTGCTGTCAATTTCTGTGCTGCCGGAGGTTGTTTACCTCATTTACATGCCTCCCATCCTGCTTGCTCTGCATTTCATGACTTCTCCTCCATCTGTGCCCTTCTCCCCAGCATTCACTCTGCCCTGAAAACCCTGCCTAACCATCGGCCAATCAACTTCTTTGTTAACATTGAGAGCAACACATTCACAGCATACAGAAGGACCATTCCACAGCGCTAGATGAATGCGAGGAAACTCTTACAGTTGGAATGCAGTTGGCTAAGCCTGGGGAGACAGCAGTGTTGTGTGGGTTTGATGTCTGGGAAGCACAGATCTATGCTTGCCTACACACCCCCACACACAGAACACCTTTGGTGTACAATCACACTACATGTACTGTTCTGAGATTTGCTTTCTTTTAAGAACCATTGATTTTGTAACTGTGAACTCCATTGTATGGCCCAAGTTACACCTCTATAAAATGCCGCTGAAGGGTT